TACCCCAACTCCAAGCCCCCTATTTTCTCCTGGACCCTGCTGGGGTTGAGGTCAGTGTAGGCTCAGGAATTGGGGAGAGGCGCCTCCTAAGTGGAACTAAATCTGCTCTCAGCCAGCTCAACACCCTCAATGCAAAAAAGCCCTGGAATAGCAAAACCCAGCACCAGGACCCTCCCAGAGCCATCTCCTGTCCCTCATGACCATGTAGGCAGTGAACGCTGTCCCTGTCTCACTGTCTTGGGCAGCAAAAAACGTGCAACCTTAGCCCAGAGGAGAAACTGGTTTTTCATGCGAAGTCTCTGCTTCCTCCAATTCCTTTAAAGCTGGAGCCACCAGCTGTCTCAGGATGGTCTGGAGCTCTGGTCTCAGTCTGCATGCCCATTAGACACCAAAGAGCAGGATCAACACCAGGCCAGTTAAACTAGGATTTCTGGCCTGATGCTGGCATTTTTTACAAAGCTCTCAAGCATCTACCCTGTTCAGGCAGGACAAAAATGGGATTCTTCATCAGAACCCAAGGCATGGTTGGAAACAGTGGCAGTTAGAGAGTATGTAATTGTTATTACAAGTTGAGCATCCCTAATCCAAAAGTCTGAAATCTAAAATGCTCCAAAATGTGAAACTTTTTGAGCCCTGATGTGACACTGCAAATGGAAAATTCTGTGTCTGACCTCGTGGAACAGGTCACAGTTGGAACACAGATGCATTGAAAACAAAACTATAGTGTATAGTATATAAAACTACTGTCAGGCTGGGTTTACAGGGTGTATATGAAACATAAATGAATTTTGTGTTTAGACTTGGGTTCCCATCCCCAGGATATTTCATTATATATGTGCAAATATTCCAAAACCTCCAAATCCTGAAATTTAAAATGCTCTGCCCCAAGCATTTCAGAGATATTGAAGAGATATTGATCATATAGTATAAGAGATATTGATCATATAATAGAACCAGGCACATTTTGCCATTTATGCCTGTTGACACACATGCAACCAGCAAATGTATAAAAGCATGAATGAATCCATCACTACAAGTTGCCTTGAGGCCAGGGCCTTTCTGAGATGGAGGGGGCAGGGACCCCAGCACTGTCATCCACCCCCCAGCTCCCCACATCTGTGGGCAGAAATACATTTGACTGCTGGACTCTTATCTGCTCTGACATTTCAATTCAGATTTACACTGAGGTGAACTTTGGAGTTTTTATTTAAAAACTTGCCTGGCTGATTGGATAATTCCTTGCTAGAGCTGTTTGGGGGTTCAGGAAGCACCCTCAGATGGGCTTAGGGAGAGGGGGCCCCTGTCAGGTGGCACTGGCTCACAGCCTGGTGGGAAGGTGACCCACGAGCAGTGTCAGGAGTGAGAGCTGTGACGTGGAATCTCCCTGGTTCTCTGTGGATCTGGCAGGTCTGTGGGACCCAGGGAGTCACTGCAGCTGGCTCCTGTACTGTGGTGTCACCTGGCAGTGTCCAGAATTGCCACATTCTGTTGATGGTCAAAATAAACTAGAAATCCAGGTTTTTGAATGAAATATCCAAATTAGTAAGCATTTAATACCCCATCTGTGCCAACAGAGGGTGTGTCAAACACAAAAGCTGTGGGTCATCTGTGACTTTGATCCTCTTCCTGGGTCAGCTGGGACTTTTTCAGTAGGAATGGAGCCCCTGACCTCAGTCACTGTGGGATGGCGGAGGGCAGATGTCCCTTCTGGAAAAGTTCCTTCGCAGCCCTTGTTTTTTTATTGCAGGTACTGAGGGTCTGGGAGTTGTCCTGTGAGGCTGACTGGAGATGGACACACACCCTGGAGTTCATCCCAGGGTAGGCCCCACAGCAGGGTTTAGCAGGAAGGAGAGGCTGAGCTGGGAACCACCTTTCTGAACATATGCCAGTAAACAGTAAATTCTGAATAAGTAGAACGTTAGAGCAGGACTCTTGAGTGCTGCATGCAGTTATAAAACACCAGAGCAGAGGCCACACCCAGGCCTGGTTTGAGATCTATGAGGCAGGTGAGCTGGGGGCTGCAGTGCACCTGGGCGGTGAAGGCCAGCTGCCTCTCTAGTGTTCAGAGGCAATGGAAGTATGCTGGGCACACCTCTTTGCTTCTGCTCCCATGAGAGGTGCAGCCACAGCTGAAAAATGACATGAGGTTGCCAGGTGAGCCTGGGGTGGCCGCAGCCTATGCTTTACAAGAGACTGAAATTCAGATATTTATGTGGAAATAATCATTCTTGTTATTCAGCCAAGTGCATTCCCATTTTAGGGACCAGAGCATCAGAAACTAGCATGGGTGCCTCTTTTCTGTGCTTGTGCAGTCATGGTGCACTGTGTGGTCTGTAGATCAGATAAGGGGTGATCTCAAGAGGCCCCAGGAGAACACGGAGCCAGGGCTGTGTCAGGTAAGAGTGTACAACCACAGTAACTGGAGTCAGGAGACCCAGCGTGTTCCTGCACCCACACCATCTGTGCCCTGTGAGCAGGTGCTGTTCTGCGCCATCCTGAGGACCACGAAGGGAAAGGAGGCCATGCCGGTCACGTGCTCTGTAAACTGGGGATCATGATGAGCACCTTGTACGTAAGGAGTGTCTTGTATGTAAGGAGTGTGTGTAAGGAGGATAAAGCTACCTTCCTCCACTAGCAGACTGCTAGTGCATCCCTGATGCGTGGTAACTGTGTAGAAAGAGTCTCAGTAGAATTGGAACTATGGAGTTGGGGTCATTTCTGTGTCATTATCTTTAAATCCCACTAGAGCAAATAATTGGCCATAGACTGTCTTGTATTATGAAGAGTCTTCTTAGGTATCCTCTTCCTTGTCCTTTCCTGCCTTCCATTCATTTACACATCCATCCATCTGTATTTTATACAAACATACATTTGCTGACTTAATCATCTACCTACTCATCTACCTACCAGTCTCTCTATCCACCTATGTATCTGTCTATCCATGTATCCATCCATTCATCCATGTATATATACATCCATGTGTTTACCTAGCATCCATCCATGCACCTACTCACTCAGCCATTCATCTCCTCTCCATCCGTGCCTCATCTGTCTGTCCATCACCCTCCTTCCTTCCCTGTCTCTATCCCTGACTGCCTTCTTCCATCATTCCCTCCTCTCTCCAGCTCTCCTTCCCTCCCTTCCTTCCTCCCTTCTTTCTATACTGGAGCAAAACCTCTCTTTCCTACCACCTTCCCAGATTCTCTGCCTGAGACTTCTGAATTAGCCTGACAAAATGTCCACAGAAGAAAGTAGAGCACGTCATAGAAGAAGCTTCACTGAAGAGTGACTTCAAAGTGACATTTAGAACTTAGGTTTTGGTAGCTTCTCAGCAAAGGAACAATGAATTTTCCAGAATCATAAGGCAAAGGGAAGGACCGAAGTTAACTGGTTACATTGTAGGGTGGTGGATGTATGGGAAAGAGATGGTAGTCTGTTATGTGGATCCTCTGGTGTGTCTGCAGCCTGGAAAATGTCAAAGTTGACTCTTTTGTTTTCCCTGTTAGGGGAGGGGGACACCCTTGTCAATTTATGTCCTGCTTTTAGTCAAACAGAAGAGGGCAAATCGGCTTTTTTGTGTCTGTTTCTTTTCTATTGCCTGCAGCTCAAAAATGGTCCTTATGCCAAAGTGGCATGTTCTGGAGTGCTGTGCAAACCAGAGAAAGAAAAATCATACAGAATAATGCAGAAATCATCTGTGTCTCTAACTTTATCAGAATTTGATAGTTTATCACCCTTGCTTGGACTGCCAGAAATACATGGCTCCCAGCACCAGGGTTTCCTTACCCCAAGAGAAGGGTCCTCTAACTTTAAAGCTGATCTCTGCCATCAAATGCTTCCTTGATGCCAGGCTAGATGAGCATATCCATGTACAGTCTGTGGGATTGTGTTACATCTAGAAACGAGAGTAAGTGGTCCACCTTATTCTGCAATCACACCCCTCCTGCTTAGGGTCATCTGTGTGTGGCTCAGGCTCATTTGTTCTCATGGCTGTGAGGTCCATGGCCAGGAAAGACCATAGCTTAGCCATGCAGCCCCTGAATGACCTGGATGACCTATGTCTCCACATGCGCAGGAGAGCTGGTTTTTGACATCTTTCCTTGTGCATGTGGCTTTGAACTTACTTACAGAATTGATGTAGAGGTGGAATTGCTTACAGCCTGGTACCTCCCTCGAAGTCCTCAGCAGCCCTGGTATAATCCAGCATTTATTCACTTCTTTCTGGGCCCCTGTTTCCAGGGATGGAGGGCGTCACTGTTGTAGTCAGCAAAGACTGGATGACCTGCTCCCAGGGGTCTATTATTATCTTTCTCAATACTTGCTGAATGTCCTGGTCTGGGGCAGCCATCTGAAATCTGCCTGGGTCATTGCTGGGGAGGTGTTACTTCACTTGACTGTGAGCAGGGGGCCCTCTCAGCTGCCACCACCTCTTGCAGACCCCCACATCTCCAGCTTTAGCTTGCTTGTGGTCTGAGTTTCTGCTCCTCTGCTGGTCCTGGAGATTACCTCCTTTCCAAGCCCTGTCTTTCTGTTCTATTTTTACTGGCCCATCTCTATTTGAAGCAGGGGGTTATTATAGTGAGCTCTCACTGCCCCTCTGACCTGATGCCTGTATTTCTTCCTTGCCTGCATTTCTATCCTCAAAGAAAAAAACAAAGGTAGCTGTTTCTCTTATGTGGGAAGTTTCAGCCTGCTGGGGCCCTTTGGTGAATCCTCGGCAGCTAGAGCTCCTTTAATGCTGGAATTCACACATTGGGGCCAGAACTCCCAGGGCCTCCCTGGTCCTCGCTGCTGCACTTCTACTCAGGCTTGGGGGAGGAAGAGGGAAGTGCTGAATTCTTGCCACTTTGGGAACCAGTACATGAATTCACAAGGGCAGCCCTTGGCTGCTGATCACACCAGGAACAGAGCAGGTTCCACAAGGGCTGATTTCTATGAGTCCCTGGCTCCTCTTTAATTTTCACGTTTCCCATTGCTGGTTTTCTTTCTTTTCCCCACAGAGACCTGGCCACCATGCCACGTAGCCCAACATCCAGTGAGGACGAGATGGCCCAGAGCTTCTCTGACTACTCCATGGGCTCCGAGTCTGACAGTTCCAAGGAAGAGACCATCTACGACACTATCCGGGCCACTGCAGAGAAACCAGGTGGTGTGAGGATGGAGGAGAGCCAGGGTGACACGCTGGTGATCCGTGTGGTCATCCAGGACCTGCAGCAGACGGTGAGCCCCTCTGAAGGGTGTTGCTTTACTTCAAGTCTTTTGCCCTTTTGTCCGTGTCTGGGTGGTGTTGACCATGGCGTGAATACCAGAGGAAATATACTTCCAGTTCATCCTGGACTCACAGGGCTAAAGACTCTGGACTGGTGATCCTTGATTTCTAGAGTGCTTCCCCTGCATTGGCTCCTCTGGGGTCCCTCCTTCCTCACTTTACACAGTCCTGTGTTCCTACTTCAGTCTGCAATATTCGCTGAGCCCTTATTTTAGTCCATTGCATGTTACTATAATGCAATACCTGAGGTGGGCTACCTTGCAAAGAAAAGATGTTTGTTTTGGTTCATAGTTCTAGAGGTCCAAGGTCAAGGATCTCATCTGGTGATGCCTCCTTGCTGGCAGAGTAGGTGGTACAGGGTATCAGATGGCAAAAACAGGAAACATAAATGTGTGTCTGTCTGGTCTTTGCCTCTTTTGATAAAATCACCAGGATCCAACTCTGGGGCTCCATTCTGGTGACCTTATCTAACCCTGATCACCTCCCAAAGGTGCCACCTTCAATCACATTAATCAGTTAAGTTTCCCTCTCTTAATCCCTCAACACGGGGGTTAGATTTCAACCCAGGAAGCCTTGGGAGCACTCACTACATCCAAGCCATAGCAAACACTTGCAGTGTCCCAAGGCTGAGGCCAGCCTGGAACAGTTCAGTCTCACAGGAGAAGCCGAGTGGCAGGTGTGTTAGCACTCAGCCTTCAGAGTCCATGTGGGATGAGGGTCCACTGGTGTTGCCTCTGCCCCTGCTGATACTCAGTGTGTGTGCATCCTGGCATCCTCAGCTGTCCTACTTCTTAGGGTGTAGGACACTGGGGCAAAGCCTCCCTGCCCAGTGCTGCCCCTGGTCAGTGACCAGTTGTGCCCCAGCCCCCAGGGCCAGTGTGTTTCCTGTGTCACTGCTTGTCCATAGCAGTTGTTCCTGGCATCTGTTGCTATGGTGTACTTCCTGGTCAGTTTCTGGGCCCTTGTGGGCAGGTTTGCCTCTCCCCTAGAGGGCAACCACTGGTGCTTGGGTTGGGCAGAAGTGGGTTGGCATGGTAGATGGCATGGATGTGGCAGCAAGACAGGTTTCCCAAGGAGCGTTCTATATGCTAGGCATTCCTTCATTGCTCTCACCTCTCTCCTTCCTCGCTCTGCAAGTCAGGCAGATGAAATTGGAACTGCTTGAAGCATAGATAAATGCTCCCAGAGCTGACCTCTCCCATCTGCTGGGAGAAGGCTCAATTCACAGGCAGCATTCAACACATGCTTGTTGGCTTTGCTGGTCTGTGATACTGGATCTTGCCGAAGGGCACTGACATGAGGTTGCATGCATCCAGTTACTTTCTAATATTCACTCAGCAATTGTGAGCATCTCGGATGAGCCAGAAGCTGTCTTAGACATTGGGGCGGGAAGCCACGGAGGGTGACAGGATAGTTCCCTGAGGTGGTAGAGGCCATAAAGAGAGTGTTTTGGGGTGCTATGAGCCAGAGAGTGATGGGAATGTGGTGGGGGTAGTGGGGCAGTGGTCTCCGAGAGTGCCTAAAGTAGCTGGTTCTTCGAGGCAGGATGTATTTAAAGCCTGCCCCCCCAGAAGTGTAAATGGGAGCCAGATCTATAGGTGATCTGAGGTCTCGGGTGGAGTTCTGGAACCCCCCATGGGTCCTCCTCCAAACCTGTCAGGAAGGTGAGGGGAGAGGAGAGAACTCAAGGTGTATGTCAATTCCTCACCTGCCCTGGCCTTCCCAGGAGCTGTACCTGGCTGCGGGGGATGGGGGGAGAAGGGGAGCTAGACATGTGGGCCAGCCCTAAGCCTCAAAAAATGGTCATGAAGATTTGGTGAGGCAGTAGCTAGCTGTGTGTGCACACTCACATGTACATGTGCACATCCTGCCCTTTGCATCTCCTTATTCATGTGGGTACAGGACTATTCGCACAGTCACCCTACCCCACTTGATGCCCCTGAGTTGACACAGTCTCTATTCCAGGGGTAAATGCCGGCTTTTACAGTAAACTAGTCTATTTCTAGTTCCCTGTTTTGTTTTGCCTTTTAAATAGAATGGGGTTAATTGCTGGGTGTTTCTAGGAAGAGTTCCTGAGGACAGTGCCACCCCAGTGAAAGTACAGTTGATCTGTGTTAGGCAAAATACTTGTATTTTATAAAGCACTTTGTGTTCCATGAAGACCCTGCCCTTAATGTAGGGTTTATCCACGAATCTTGAGCTTGAGGCCAACAGTGCTATAACTCCTGCTTGCATGAGGCTTTTCCAACAGGCACATCACAACCACCCCCCTGCTTGGGAGGACCTCACTCTTTAGCCCTGTGATGGAGGCCTATTTGAAACAGTAAAATCCACAACAAAAAGCACAAAAAAATGTAAGCGATGCAGCACTAAATAGACCACAATAAGAACACTTGTTTACAGTATCAGAGCACAAGCAAGGCAGAGGTCACTTCATCTGACTTCAGGTGGGGACCTCTGCACATTTGCTGCTACTTTTCATATGTCTGTAAGTGACCACCAAAGCACAGACAGCATTGATTGCGAGGTTACGAGTGACTTTGCTGGAGTAGGCACATCCGTGTATACAGAACTCACAAATAGCAAGGACTGACTGTGTTTTGAAAATGTTTACTTGTCTGCGTCCCAGGTGCTCTTTTTCTCTGTATCATATCAAGCCTCCCCTGTATTTGTGGAGGCATTGTGTACTGGCTCTGAGTGACCTTATCTAACCTTAATCACCTCCCTGACTTTTTTTAGAGATATCTGATTTACCTTTTCCATCTTGTAGATCTCTCTGTCTCTCTGTCTCTCTCTCTCTCTCTGTCTGTCTCTGTCTCTCTCTTTCTCTGTGTCTCCGTCTCAGTCTCTGTTTCCCTCCTTCTCATCCTCTCTCCCTCCTTTCCTCGATGGCTAAAGAATTGGCTTCACTTGCTAGACAAATAAGTCTTTGGTGTGAGCCATTTTTGTTTTTTTCTGAGAACCTTATGACATGCAGATTCTGTTTTTCCCCTCCTTTTAAGGATGTCTCGTATCCCATAACTTCTCTGTGTTAGGAGTCAGGCTCTTCTATGTATCAAGCAAATAATCAACCTTATGCTGGATTTTCCTCTCCCGTATCTGTGTCTCTCACTGCCTCCTGCGCTGGACACATTTTTGTGTGTATGTACAATATCCCAGAGTTTTCACATACTGCATGCTCAGTGGGATCAGCTCAGTTCCTTGTAATTTCTAATCTATTGTAGTCATGTTGTTCTGACTTTCCATTTATTTTCATAGCTGTGTGTGCTCTCTTTTTGAGAATTACTCTTTCAAGTTATTTATTTGTTTTATGTCTTATTATTTTACTCCCTAGCATAAAGCTCTCTTGGAGACTTTTCTTCCTTTAATTGGAGTGTATTTTCACCCAGATCAGAGGCTTGTCTGATTCTTTACATGTTCTTTCCTCTTCATGTATTGCTTTTCCTGTACTGTGCTTTCATTATTATCCATGCCATCTCTCTCCATCCTGTTCAGTTGAGTGGCAGCAGTGTGGTCTATGCCCAATCCCAGCAGCCACATCCTTCCCTATTGCCTCTGGCCTCTTGATTTGGACCTTCAGGTCTCAGGTCTTAAATCCAAGAGACTTCCCTAGTCCCCTGTCCTACTCCCTTATCAATAAGTAGTACTAGGGGCAAGAGACCAGGGGGCACGCATGTGAGTCTTCCTGGCCTCCCTTGTGAAGGTAGACATGCCTGTCCATCTGTCTGCCTAGATTTTCAGATGAAAAGCTGCAGGGGCCATGTATATAGTCAGCTTCACCGTCACCAAGACACAATACCTGATGCCCACAGTTTAAAGGAGGACAGGTTTAACTTGTGCATGGTGTAAGTGGATCAGTTTATGATCAGCTGGTTCCATGGGAGGAACATCATGGTTGAAAGACATAATGAGGCAAAGGTACTTAGTTCCTGATGGCCAGAAAGCAGAACAAGGGAACAGTGTCAGAGAGAAGGAGCCAGGGACCAGATATAATAGTCAAGATCACACTTCCTGAGCCACCCAGACATTCCCAGAAGTGTGCTGTACTAATACCCTTGGGGCTTCTTAATCCACCTGAGTTGACATATCAGGATTAAGGATCACAGGTGTGTGTGGGAGTGAGTCTTTCTGGAAGACAAGGGCCTCTTTTTCTTCTGAGATTGTCTTAACTGCTCAGGCAATGATTCCCCAGCCTTTGGAGCATTTCTATTCAGTGAACATCCCTGGCAGGAGGGTCTCTCCAGACAGCTGGCCCACCCATATCTCCCCAGTCCCTGCCTAGCCAAGCAAGAAGTCACAAGAGCCCCAAGAGGATGAGGGGGCACATTCCCCACCAGAATTTCCATTCTATCTGGCTATGTGTTCTCTGTACTTGTCCTGAGAGCACTTTTACAACTTCTCTGGTACTGAGCGGTGCCTATATCTTGTGCTTGGTACATTTTGTGGGGCTTCTATATTTGGGTCTCATGGTATGACCTTCTTGGTCCCGGCAGGCTGCATTTCTCAGTGACTGCCACTCAAGGGTGGAGATTCTTGAACCCCATCACTGTAAATCATCCTCATTCTGCAGGGCCAGCTGCCCCCTGGTCTCTTGCCCCTAGTACTATTATTGATTAGGGAATAGGACAGGGGACTAGGGAAGTCTTCTCTTGGATTTCAGACCTGAGACCTGAAGGTCCAAATCAAGAGGCCAGAGGCGATAGGGAAGGATGTGGCTGCTGGGATTGGGCATAGATCAGAGCAAGCGCCCCTTTGCTTTCTGCCTAGGGGCAGAGATGGCTACTCCAGCTGAGAAATGGCATGTACCCTGCACTGTGCCAATCCTAACACATCAAGACATTATGGATACGATCCTTGAAGGGAATCCAGCACTCTGTACTTGTCCTGAGAACACTTTTACAACTTTCTCAGGGGTTACCGTGTGCCGTACACCATGTTAGGTCTTAATGTT